GTGAGAGACACGGAGGGAGAGCGCGAGAGAAAGATCCGGACACATTAATTCTAGATTTGAAGCTTTCGTGACTGCAAGGATTCATATTCTTAGGTTTTTTCGGTAAAGTCACCGTGTAGGTAAAACATCAAAATTAATGAAACTAAAATGAAATAAAAATCACGACGTTTCGGAGGCAACACGAGTCTCCGTCAGCAGGTGGGACCGTCACAGCCGAATTAGCTGCATCAAGTGAGGCAATGACTCAAGATGTAATCCCTTATAAGCAAGTTGCTTGCTTACTCACTGATGTAGCTAATTCGGCTGTGACGGTCCCACCTGATGACGGAGACTTGTGTTGCCTCCGAAACGTCGTGATTTTTGTTTCATTTTATTTTCATTAATTTTGATGTTTTACCTACCTGGTGACTTTACCGAAAAAACCTAAGAATATGAATCCGGACACATTCCCATCGGCGAGCTCCTCCGGCAGGCGAAGGCTGCGTCGGGCAACAAAACGGACACCTTTTTAACAGGTCCCTGCGGGGTGGGCTGGTAGGAACGAATAACCAAAGAATATAAACATAATGTATTATTACACTTGTTTAGCCAGGAAAGCCTCACTGAGTCTAAAGGTTTTTGTAGGGTCCTGCCAAGTGTTTGCAGTAGGGGGCGATGTTGCTACACCTAATCGGACGATACGAAGGGAGAGATTGAGGCCAAATTCTAGACTTTAGGCCTAGCTGTAGGCTTTAGGCCGCTGTGAGTTGATTTTTAATTTAAATGTTTTAATTATTAAAAACATCAGGGAATGTAACATTGTTAAACATTAACTCCCTTTCACACACGCGGGGGTACGATACGAAGGGAGAGTTTGAGGCCTAGTTGTAGGCTTTAGGCCTAGCTGTAGGCTTTAGGCCGCTGTGTAGGCTTTAGGCCGCTGTGAGTTAATGTTTAATTTAAATGTTTTAATTAAAAGCTATCTCAAGGAATTAATAAGGGAATGTTACACTTGTTTAGCCAGGAAAGCGTCACTGAGTCTAAAGGTTTTTGTAGGGTCCTGCCAAGTGTTTGCAGTAGGGAGCGATGTTGCTACACGGACGGACGGATGGACGATATAATCTATTGTGGGCTGGTTCACTTCATTTCCTACCAGTAAAATCTCGGCAACCAATCAGCGAGCGTCTTCCCGGTTCAAATTGACCAATCGCAAGGGCGAGTACGCGAGACCCCGCCCCTTCGCCCCACCCTGAACCCCCCTGACCCCACCCACTCCGAGGTTAAATCGACCAATGGGAGGGACGCACGGACGTGACGTCACCGGAAGTAGACACCGATGCGACTTGTTTTCTTCGACGCGTGGAAGTCGTCTACCGGTGGCGGTAGATGTCTTCCGGTGGCGGTAGATGTCTTCCGGTACTGGTAGATAATCTTCCGGTGGCGGAAGATCTCTTCCGGAACTGGTAGATGATCTACCGGTGGCGGTAGATGTCTTCCGGAAGAGGTAAATGATCTTCCGGTGGCGGAAGATGTCTTCCGGAAGAGGTAGATGATCTACCGGTGGCGGAAGATGTCTTCCGGAAGAGGTAAATCATCTTCCGGTGGCGGAAGATGTCTTCCAGTACTGGTAGATAATCTACCGGTGGCGGAAGATGTCTTCCGGAAGAGGTAGATAATGTTCCGGTGGCGGAAGATATCTTCCGGTACTGGTAGACACAGACAAAGGTCCCCCGTGTAGCCTCTAGCAGCTGAAGGGGCAAGTGCTGTCAGTAGCGATTAGCAGCGCCGATTAAGGTAGACGCAGACAAAGCTCCCCCGTGTAGCCTCTAGCAGGCTCTAGGGACAAGTGCTGTTAGCGAGTAGCAGCGCTACCTATGAAGGCTACCGGCACTGTGGCTACACACACAGAGGGGGTGGGTGGCCAGCACCACGCCCGGCCGCCTTTGTCTCTCCCCCAGTGCTGGCGATGTTTATACGACACACACCGCTCATTTGAAAGTCCCTCTCAGTGTGGGGGGGGGTGGTGGGGGGCTCAATCAAAAGCACCACAGCGTGTTACCAGTGACATTTCAATCGCGTCTTAGAAATGCAAATGTTTCCAACCCACGCTGGGTGGGCATTGCGGGTGGCTATGAGATGTTGACGACCTCGCCTGGTACACAGGAGGTCGTGGGTTCGGTCCCGACCCTGACGATGTCTGCTGTTTATTTGGAGTCTGCGTCTCTATTATCATCATCACGGTGGCTATGAGATGTTAACTACCTCGCCTGGTCCGCAGGAGGTCGTGGGTTCGATCCCGGAACCTGACGCCTGCTGCTGCTGTATATTTGAAGTCTGCGTCTCTCTCTCTCATCATCATCATCACGGTGGCTATGAGATGTTGACGACCTCGCCTGGTACACAGGAGGTCGTGGGTTCGATCCCGACCCTGACGCCTGCTGCTGCTGCTGTATATTTGGAGCTTGTGTCTCTCTCATCATCATCATCACGGTGGCTATGAGATGTTGACTACCTCGCCTGGTGTGCAGGAGGTCGCGGGATCGATCCCGGACCCTGACAATGCACACAGACACACACACAGACACATAGAAACACACACAAAGACAGACACATGGATACACACAGATACACACACACACATACACACACAGACAGACACACGCACGCAGACAGACACACAGACACACACAGACAGACACAGATACATAGATACACACACATACACACATAGATACACACACACATACATAGACACACAGACAGACACATGGATACACACAGACACACACACAGACACATAGAAACACACACAAAGACAGACACACAGACAGACACATGGATACACACAGACACACACACATAGATACACACACAGACAGACACACACAGACACACACACAGACAGACACACACACACAGACACACAGACACATAGATACACACAGACAAAGACAGACACAGACAGACACACATAGATACACACACACAGACACACACAAAGACAGACAGACACATGGATACACACAGACAAACACACATAGATACACACACAAAGACACACACACAGACAAACACACACAAAGACAGACAGACACATAGATACACAGACAGACACACACACACAGACAAACACACACAAATACAGACAGACACACACACAGACACACACACAGACAGACACAAAGACACACACACAGACACAGACAGACAGACACATGGACGGACGATGGTGGACTGAGCCGTGGTGGTCGCGACGTTTCGGGCACGGACCTGGAAATAATTGACACCCGCGGTGTGAGGGAGGGAAGACCATCACAGACAATGAGTCGAAAGCAAAAGTAATATTTATTAAATATCCCTCCAAAATAAAACAATCATCATTATCATCATCAACAAATCCTCTAGCAATCCGTGGTGTGTATATATAATGCATAAGTGTCAATATATCACACGCACGCGTGTGCATGTGTATATGTATCTGTGTGTGTCTGTGTGTGTGTCTGTGTGTCTGTCTGTCTGTTTGTCTATGTGTCTCTGTCTGTGTGTGTCTTTGTGTCTCTGTGTCTGTGTCTTTGTGTGTCTGTGTGTGTCTGAGGCTTTGTGTGTCTGTCTTTGTGTCTGTGTGTCTCTGTCTGTGTGTGTCTCTGTCTGTGTGTCTGTGTGTCTCTGTCTGTGTGTGTCTGTGTCTTTGTGTCTGTGTGTCTCTGTCTGTGTGTGTCTGTATGTGTCTGTGGCTTTGTGTGTCTGTGTGTGTGTGTGTGTCTGTGTCTTTGTGTCTATGTGTGTCTGTGTCTTTGTGTCTGTGCGTGTCTGTGTCTTTGTGTCTGTGTGTCTGTGTCTCTGTATGTGTGTGTCTGTGTCTCTGTCTGTGTGTGTCTGTGTGTCTGTCTGTGTGTCTCTGTCTGTGTGTCTGTGTCTTTGTGTCTGTGTGTGTCTGTGTCTTTGTGTCTGTGTGTGTCTTTGTGTCTGTGTGTCTGTGTCTCTGTATGTGTGCATCTCTGTGTCTGTGTCTTTGTGTCTGTCTTTGTGTGTGTCTGTGTCTTTGTGTATGTCTGTATCTTTGTGTCTGTGTGTGTCTGTGTGTCTGTGTCTTTGTGTGTGTGTCTGTGTCTCTGTGTCTGTGTCTGTGTGTGTCTGTGTATTTGTGTCTGTCTTTGTGTCTGTGTGTGTCTGTGTGTCTCTGTCTGTGTGTGTCTGTGTCTCTGTCTGTGTGTGTCTGTGTCTCTGTCTGTGTGTGTCTGTGTGTCTGTCTGTGTGTCTCTGTCTGTGTGTCTGTGTCTTTGTGTCTGTGTGTGTGTCTCTGTCTGTCTGTGTCTTTGTGTCTCTGTATGTCTGTGTGTGTCTGTCTGTGTGTCTGTGTGTCTCTGTGTGCGCGTGCGTGCGTGTGCGGTATAAATGCCGTGGGGGTTTTTTGGGGAGGGAGTTCAAGATTTTCTTTACAAGAGAGAGGAGAGAGAGGAGAGAGAGAGAGGAGAGAGAGGCAAGGGTTTGGGGGGATCGCTGCGTGTGGGAATTTAATAATTCAGTCGCGATACAAATGACACAGACAACGAGGAGAGGTGCTTGCGCGTGTTGAATTGTGACCATTTGTCACGCCGAGTCCACGAGAGATGGGGGGGTGGTGCTGTTGGGTCCAGTGCCGGATGAAGCTAGAGCAGGTCCTGTAGCATTTGCTGTTACTCTGGTCAACACACTTTTTTCTGGCACGAGGTATTCCAACGGTTTTAAGGTAATTTTGGGGTGCCGATTCCAAATTTGGCATCAGTCTATCACATCAGGTTTTTGAGATATCAAAGATTGCATTTTCAATAAGAACTGCGGAAGAAAAATATTAAATAAATGTGGATATCTACATGAAATGATATTATAAACACACTATGCTAAAAATGCAGCACCATGTTTTAACACTAAAGCAGTCACTACCTCGCAACAACTTGCAATCATAAGTGACGGAGTTAATTTCGGGTAAAATAATTGAAAATAGGGTATGCCGATAGCATAAAAATTAGATGTGATGGAGC